AAAAAAAAAAAAAAAGAAATAGAACATTATCAATACCCCAAACGCTCTCATGTTCTCTTCTAGTTATTACCTGTCCTACCAAGGATAACCACTATCCTAATTTGCAGCATCATATGTTAGTTTTGCCTGCTTTTATACTTTATATCATTGGAATCATATGGTACATACTCTTTTATGTCTGGCTTTCTTCAACATTACATTCAAGAGATTTGTCCATATTACTGCATGTAACTGTAAATCTTGTTGAATCTTTTAAAAACTTGAATTTTTGTTCTCCACGTAGATTGAACAAAAAACACTTTACGGTAAACTAGATTTAGTTCAAGCTATTAGTTGAAGAACCAAACATTATCTTGGAATTCTTTTTTTTTTTAATGTTTACTTATTTTTGAGAGAGACGGAGACAGAATGGGAGTTGTTTAGGGGCAGAGAGAGAGAGAGACACAGAATCCAAAGCAGGCCCCAGGCTCTGAGTTGTCAGCACAGAGCCCGACACGGGGCTTGAACTCATGAGCTGTGAGATCATGACCTGAGCCGAAGTTGGACGCTCAACCGACTGAGCCACCCAGGCACCCCAATCTTGGAATTCTTAGTACTGAGATAGATTTAAGTTTAGCATTCGAAATTAGATGATTGTCAGGGTTTTTTACTGGATATTTGAGAGAAATTTTTTCTTAAACTTTGTATGTTCTCTGTTTCTCTTTCCAGGTTAGTTATAATAGCACACAAGTACTATTCTGTCTCGTTACTTTATCACTTCCTTCAACAAAGAACAATTCATTGTGTTTTATGTTTCTTAATGCTGCTGTAGCATTTTAAATTGTTTTTCTCTGTCTTCACAGACCTGGGCACTACATTCGCTATCACTGATTATTGATTCTGCTGGCCCACTGTACCATATGCATGTGGAACCCACCCTTTCTCTTATTATAATGTTATTGTTAAATGTGCCTCCTACTCATGCTGAAGTTCAACAAAGTCTTGGTCGCTGTTTGAATGCCCTTATTACTACTTTGGGTCCAGAACTACAGGGTATGCATAGCTCATTTTGTGATGTTTTAAATTAAAAATACACATGTGAAAATGAATTCACTTCTTATTACTGACTCAAATACTTGTAAGTGAAGTGGAGTTTAGCACAGTGTTCTATGCAAATACATGAGCAGAGTATTGAGAGTCAGGAAGAAGATTTTGACTCCTGCATGTTGACATAATAGAAAATAACATAGAAAGTAGGAAACTTAATGTAAGCTCCACCACTACTTTTTTTTTTTTTTT